CTATCAAGATTGAGAACATCCTCATCTCTGAAAGAGTGACCGCTGGCCTGTAAATGAGTGAAACCTGCAGAGTTCTGGCCATTGTTAGCCAGTGTTAATTGGGTGTCAACGATAGCCATGTGATGTGAGTATCAGTCACCTGGAGGCAGGACTTAAAAGCCTGAATTTTGCCTGAAACTCTCAGACTGAAGAAGTCTCTTGGAGGAGAGACGAAACGTTTCATTAGAGAAGAACCCGTCCAGAAGACCTACACAATTTTTTTCCTTTTTGACTCATATTAAATGCTTAATTAAATTTTCCCTAAATCCTCTATCATCCATCTTCTGTGTTGTTTATATTTCTGGCATACTAAAATGACATGTTATAGTTTCTTCTTGTCCACGGTGCTCACATTGACCTGTTTCTGTTCTTCCTTTTCTTCAGTTTATTTGATATGACACAGTTTGGTGCACCACTTCCACCTGCTGGTATAAAGTGTGAGCCAGGAAAAACAACAATAAGAAAGTCTTATTTCCCACTAATAAACGAGCCTGTTTCAGGCAAATTATTAAAATCTGAGAACTATCAATTTTTATAATTTTGTAATAATTTTATAAAATCAAACCTTTGAATTAGACTTGTTCTAATTTAACCTAGTCTCATGTTCTAATTAATATTATGTTTCCCTACTATGAATGATATCTTGTTTAATGCCATGTGTTCAAATCTGAGACAGTTTACTTCCTCCTGTTTATTATTTTATATGATAACTTGTATTTAACCAGGGAAATCCCATAAGAGCACACATCTCTTTTCCAGTGGAGACAACATAAACATATATGTTTTTGGACTGTGGCACCAAACTTTATGCAAACACAAGGAGATCATGTAAACTCCATACAGAAAGACTCCAGGTCCAAACTGGGAATTGAACCTTTGACCTTCTCTGTTCCACAGCTAATTTCTCCTGTTTTCTKTTGAATTCTAGAAAACCATCAATCTTCTCTTCCTCCCTCCCATTGTTTTCACTCTTTGATTGTTCTTCTTTTTGACATGTTTGACATTATTTCAACAAAAGCTTTGCTATTACATTCCTCTCTGATGTTACTAAGAGCTGGGATTCATAAAGTTACACCCATAGTTTTCATTCTGTTCAGTGTTTGTTGTATTTAACATGTTTGATACCTTCTTTAAACTGAGTAAYAAGGACTTTAAATCTGAACAATTAATGATCCTAATGGTCAGTTATCTTCAACTCATTGWACAAGCAGCTCAGAATACTGTAGAATTATAGACAATATTTATAATCTAGTTCAGATCTGATTAATCCAGTGTATACACTCCTGTGTTCAGCTACAACACCTCGTTTTATGGCTTTTTACATTTTTCACACACTTCTCATGTCATTCTATCAAACCATGTGCTGAAATGTTCAAATAACTTTACTCTTTTCAGCTCATGTCCATATAAATAAGTTTAATATCATTCTTCACCTTTTTCCCCCTCATTTTCTGAATTTTCCTTCAGCTAAACTGCTCCATTTTTGTCTCATCCTGCTCGTTTGCAGCAGTTTATGGCTGATATTTTTAGTTTTGGCTGATATTTCTAGGTTAACTGATATTTAAGTTTAGTTGTTTTTTTTTTTTTTTGTTTAGCTGATATCTTTAGTTTTAGTTAACATCTTTAGTTTTAGCTGCTATCTTTAGTTTTAGCTGATATCTTTAGTTTTAGCTGATATCTTTAGTTTTAGCTGAT